CCATCCATCCATCCATCCATCCATTCATACTTTGGTTTGTTAGTTTGATCGTTCCGTCCATTCATTCATTCATTCATTCATTCATCATTCATTCATTCATTCATTCATTCATTCATTCATTCATTCATTCATTCATTCATTCATCCATCCATCCATTCACTCAGTCAACTGTTATTACTTTCATCAGTTCACTTACTTGTGTTTTTTCTTTACAGCTCCTTTCACTTCTTCCCACAAGAATTCTCAAAATCCTTGAGTATATTGGCTTTTCAGGAGACAAGGTAGACTTTTATAAACCCCCTACTCCATTGATTTGCACTTTTATTAATTGGTTTAGGTTTTCACACTTCACTAAGCCGTGCACATAAACGCGCGCGAGAAAAGGTGGTCAAGTATAAATATGCACACTAGCGTAGGAAGGAGGTTGAAGGGGGGCACATTGCCGGATGTGTCCCCCTATATTCAAGACCTCGCTACGCCACTGCATATGCACCTGTAATGCAGCATCTTAAAAAATCTTACACAACGCAATGTTTTTTGCAACTTATCTCGCAATTTTGAGACATCATGTGGTGTTGCGCCCTTCTTCTTACTTGTGTTACAATGGTTTTGGTTTGACAGCAATATTCTTTTACACGTACATTAGCTACCATTGGCTAATGCAATATTCTTATCACCCATTATGGAAGATTTATTTTTATCGCCCATTTATCAGAGTAGATTTAATATTAGAAAAGCTTACGTTACGGTCACGGTAGTGACATGGAATTATCGAGGTTCGTTCGTCCAATCAGCGTTCTTTGACTCTTGGTGCTTTCCCGGAAAGACCTCTCTACTTATAACCATCACTCATTGTAAGGGACTCTTTCATAAGGTTTGCCCACACGCACTACTATTACATTCTACTTTGACAACATACAACACTCAAAGAAACCAGAAGAAAAACCAAAGTTGCAAGGAAGAGAATGAAACATCAAACAAACTCAACTCGAACGCGCAACCCCAGGCTTGACTACTCAGCCGTGATAGACAGTATCATGCCACCCATAACAAAATCTACTTAAAGATTGCGGGACAAGATGCATGGAATATTTCCTCGTAAATTCATAAAAAAATATCTTTTTTTAAACTGCCAGTTTTCAGGTCTGGAGCATTTGGATAAAGGTTGTAAAGGAGACAGTCTGAGATCACCAATGTGTGCCATGATTTTATTGGCCTATCATAGTGTAATCACTTACTATTTAGGTAAGGCCACTGTTCTTTGACTGAAGGCACAGGTGTGATAATAGCCAATGTGCACGAGCACGAATCTCTAGCACAAAGCATGATGGTAATCCGAGTACTTACACTTTTTCAACTCATATGACAATTGTTCCTGCGACATTTTCTATGAAACCGTAAGTATTTCAACAGATGAAAATAACAGTAATTTTTTTGTGATAATTCTGTTGATTTTCTTGTTCTGATGTGTGTAGTACTCGGTTTCCCATCATGTTTTGTGCTCTTGCACATTGAATATCGTAAGAACTCTTGTCTTTCACCAAAGTCATCTATCATTGATTCTTCGAATTGTCTAATTTAGTAGGCTAGTTATTCGTTAGTTTTTCTCCTGTGCTTCTTAGGGTTTTCCAGTTTTCGTTGTCCCACCCTACCCTCAAAAAGACATCTATATTACAATCGGGTTGATGAAGACACGTTCTCGATCTTTGCGCATTTTTGTAAGAGAAAGGGAGAACTAGAAAAAAAAAGGAATAAAAAAGTCAGGAAAAGGAAAGATTTAGAAAAAAGAGGAGTGGAAAAAAAGAGAAAGGGATGTCTTATTAGGACAGCAAGAGAGTATAAAATGATCCCTGTGGGGTAATATGGATGGATAGATAGGTAGGAAAACATTAGGGAAAGGAGTCGAAGGTGTATGGATTATGGAGAATTAATTAAATATTTATTCATTTTGTAGGTATTGGAGATGGTGACGTAGAATATGCTGATGAGATTCTGCAGCCATTTCTCAAGACTTTTCCTAAGGTACGTTTTATTAAGCCTCCTCCGTAGGGGTCTGTCATTTTGTGTGATAAAAGAGCGAAGATTGGCTTCAGGGATTGGGCTTGAGAAGTGGCAATCTCGTACCCAAAGTCCTCCAGCGCCTTCCTGCTTTGTCGTCAGCGCCTGATACCGGCGCCAACCCGCTGACCGAAAGCCGGAAGACTCTGGGCTCGAGCTTCGGGAAGTGGACACCGAGGGTTAGTCTATAAGACTTTCTCGGTAACATTTATCTGAACACCACAGGTAGCCCGCCAAAAAAAAGACACGAGAAATCCTAAAGGAAAGAGGGAAGCCTGCAGAAAAGGCTACGTTTGAATCGGTCAAGTAAAAAAACGACTACATTCAGTACTGACGCGCATAACCACTCTCAAATGCTTTCTTCCGCTCTAAACCAATGAAAGAACAGAAGAAATGTGCTGCTCTGAACCAATGAAACTGAGAACAGAAGAAATAACGACAATCCAATCACTGTGACCTCACAGTCATTTAGCAAAGTTTATACACGTGAAAGATTATAGTACGATCGGGTCTCATTTGTGCAGTTTTCAATTTCCCTTTAAAAAACTACCGCTATGCTTTCAATTTATTCATTTCTTCCCGTCTGTTTTTTTTGTAGGGTGCCATTTTTCTATATTTTGCTGGTCGTATTAAACAGGTGCAAGGCCGACTTGATGAGGTAGGTTGTGTAGTGTTTAATGAACGAGCAAGTGTTTTTAAAACCACAAGGCGTAGCTGAGTGTTTTTAGACCTCAGGCTGATAAAAAATCCTCTTCTCGTTTATCAAACAAAACTTCTGCACAGGCCAGAAATGGATAGCCTGTGTGTAGCCCGACTTAAACTCTGGTTAATACAGACCTTTAGCACGATGTTCTTGCTAGGTACCAACAACCTCAAACTGCAGTTCGACGTCAGGCGTTTTCCGTCACATTTTCGACATTCAGCATGGCGTCATAACGAAGTTCCTGTAAGAGCCGCCATATTGAATTTCATTGAAGCTGAGTGTTTCTCCGTGTTTGCTGGCATGTTTTTGGGCTTGAGCCGAAGCGGTTAGAGGTTATATATAAGGTCTCTAATATGGCGGCTTAACCACAGTTACGTGCAGCTGCACGCAGGCTAGAAAAGAAGTGCTTGAATATTGATTAAAGTTTCAGAGTATTTTAACTTGAGAATGTAAAGGTGCTTAATGTTTTGAAGGGGGAAACGAGGCAACTACTAATAATTATAAAATGACGTCAAAGTGTGAAGGGAAGGGTACAGTAAGGAACTAAAATCCATGAGGTCATGTTGAATATCGTAATTCTTCGTTTCACGCTACGTTTTTTGCCACCATGTTTGTGGTATGGTTTTCTTGATACGACCAACATGGCCACGAGGGCGCGGATCCAGGGTTTTTTTGAAGGTGGGGTCTCAGGGGTAAATTTTGTGGGCAAAGGAATCCCGATCGCATTTTTACCACAGGAAGACCATTTGACCTCAGTAATGACAGGGGGGTCGCGACCCCCCCATCCCCCGACCATCCCCCTGGATCCGCCCTTGGGCCGCCATATCTTTGTATCTTGACTCTCTTGCGAATGCAAACCAACTCGCCCCTCTCCTGCATCTGTCAATGAAGTTAACTGGATTATGATGTTATTCAGGCAGAAGAAAGGTACAATTACTCGATTAAAGTGCAATCAGAATGGAAACAATTTCATCACATTTGTTATTGGGAGCTCATGTGGTGTTACAGGTAACATATGTTAGAATTTCAAATCCTTGGGGGGAGGGAAGGGTTTGGTGTTGATCGCTAGTACCGGATTCCTTTCCGTGGAAACCAACATTTTTACCATTTCTTTTTTTACCAGACTTCACCTTTGCTTGTCTCTCCTTTTTTATCAGCGACTTCACTTTAAATCTTACGTTCTGGAGAACTAGCTATGCCCTCCTTTACATTTTAGCATCAAAATTAGATTATGTTTAGATCGGCTTACATGATTCAATTATTGGTCTACTCTTCAATAGTTGACTCATTCTTGTATTATAGTTTGCAGCAAAACTGGCCCAAGGCTTTTCATTACGCGTCTAATTTATTGAAAGAAAGTCGGTGGTCAAAGGTAAATAACAGAGGGCTCTTTAGCTTCCTTATCAGATTCCTCGCAAGGAATTCTGAAAAGGAGGGGGCAATTATTTTCCATAATTCTAATGTTGAATTAACGTTGAAAAAAGTAGAGAGAGCGTTCATTAAAGAATATTGCTTAATTTCTTAGCACAACAAGATTTCAAGATTCATGTTTTTTGTCGACCATTTGTCTTAAACCAGATTTCAAAAGAAAGCCAACTGTCAATAAACCCTTTGCCAAAATGGCGGCCGAAAATTTAAATAAGTTAAATTTAAAAACAATACCAGCACTAAAAAGTGCACCTTTACTTTAGTAACCCTACGAAGATTCATTACGTCAGGTGTGAAGAGGACTATTGTTTTTGCTGATCTATGACGTTGTTTGTCGTCCTGCCGCCATTACAACAGTTGGTAACCCTGTGGTGGTAGAAAGTGCTGATAATATAATGACTCAAATTGTGTTTGTTAATTCAGACAACCTACATGTACTTGAAGGGATCGTTCAGACTCATGGCCCGAATAACTGGACAGCAAATCGCTAAAGAAGATGACAACGGCAAAGAGGACACTGAGGAGTACATGTTCAGGTGCGTGTCCCATTCACTGTGACTTCACTGATATTAGGGACTTTAAGATTCTCAAAATCTGCGACGGCGACGTCAACCGGAAGTGTGAATAACTTCTCTTTAGGGTTCTGTTCATTGGAGATTTCATTCAAAACATTGTCAGTAAAGTCAACTCATCGACAGGGAAGACAGATCTTAAACAGACTCGAAATCCAAAGTGCAGTAATTTACACTTCCGGTAGACATCGCCGTCGCAGATTTTGCGAATCTTAAAGTCCCTATTAGCCATTCCGAGGTTGAGGAAAAAACTGTGTCGAGATGGCATTGCAGTACATTGTGGGGCTGTTTCACGAGACGAAACAGACGCCATCTTGGAAAGATGTCCCCTAAACCATCCCAATAATGCACTGCAATACCAACTCGAACCAGTTTTTCCCTCAACCTCGGAATGGCTTATACTGTTATTCTTCGATTACGTCATCGCGGCCATGTTGGTACCATTTAACAAAAGATTTCTCATTAGCATCCATTGTTAACGAAACCACAATGACCGCCATGTTTTTGTTTTTTGACTCTCTTGGGAATGCTTGCACCCTATCAATTGTGTGGTTAGAATACCTAGATATAGAGGCTCTGCACCATCACGTGATGGTAGCCATGACAGGAAACGGGAATAATTGTAATTGGGTAATAAGTTCATGTTCTGATGGAATACAATGCATATATTGTATAGTAGTGTATTGTTTTATATTGTATGCATTGTCTTGTCTTCTATCGTTGTTCTATTGTTTCTAGAACATGAACGAACTACCAATAATTGAATCTTGTCTAATCTGATTTGCATGAGAAGTAATTCAGTTTACCAGGGGAGAACGACTCTATTGTTCCTGCGCGCCTTGTGTTATGGCTGCCATCACGTGATGGTACAAAGCCTCTATAATATATATACATACACTAGATAAGAAAGCATGCCAGGCTTTAGCTCTTGCCGCATCTCGTTGCTCTCCGTGACGTAGTCTTATGTAAAAAAAGTATTGTTTTCTGATCTGCAGACATTTGCCAAATTATAAACAAAGGATTGCTGGCAAATCTATTCCATTTGAGAAATATTCCATCCACAAGTCTGTCAAGTATTTCAGTCAAGGCAACTGGTTGTTCCTTCCAGGACTGGTAAGACCTTTCATATATTTGTGATATTCTTAGCATTCCCATGAAGAAATAGAAAACGCGCGCGCGTGCTGTGTGCTGTCATAAAGCACGCGGGGGTTGGCAGAACACGAGAGAAGTGTTAGGAGAAGCACGACGCGTAGCGGAGTGCTTCTGGACACTTCTCGAGTGTTCTGCTAATCCCCAAGTGCTTTATGACTGCACACAGCACAGCAAGCAAGTTTTTTATTTCTTTTATAAAATACAAATTACAATAATAATTAGGAATGACGCAACGGAAAGTGCGCGCGCGTGCAATGTCCTCTCATAAAGCACGCGCTCCAAAACAATCAGAACGCGACATTCATCACAGTTATTTCATAATGTGCAATATATACTGAATACACATATTTTTTTTTACAACTCGTTATGAGGGAGCTTTCATTTATTAGCGCGGGGGGGG